GTTAGCTCTGCATGCTCGGTTTTCTATAGTTGGAGCCCTCAGATATGCTTAGGGGTTCCGAGAGGGTTATGCCGATCGTGTTTTGGATGAGGGTCAGACTGGTTCTACCCCTGATAATGTTGACAAGGAACTGGATATTGACCCTCCTGGTATTTATGCCGATCCAGACTCCACCGCTGCTGAGGGCATATTTGATGAATGCCAAGAGATTGCCTCTTCTCGGATCACTCCTACTCCTTCTGCTGCTCTGACTTTGGATATTCTTCCTCTGTCCACCGTGACTCCATCTGTTATTACTGCTGAAGATAACCCTCAGCAAAATGATTTTTCCAATGCTATTGAGGGTAGGACTCAACAGAACGATTCTGTCATTCACCTCGACTCTCCACCTCGTGAGGATGGTAATACCAACAATAATGAGGAGATAGTCCAGCACCATCAAGAGGCTGACAAGGCAAACGCCTCTTAGTTAGAACTCTTTTTTTTTTTTTTTTTTTTTTAATGTACTAACTTTTGTATATTCGCCATCTTTACACCTCATCTTTTTTGTAACTCTTTGAACTTTATTAATGAGATGGCCGACTTCTGATCAAACTCTTTATGTAAACTCTCCTTTTTTTTTTTTTTTTTAGCAAGTGTTTGGCGTTCGGCTCATAGCGCCAGCTGCCACTTACTTTGCTTAGGAGCTGGCGCTCGGCTAGAATGCCACTTGCCACTTGGCCCTCTTTTTTTTTTTTTTTTTTTTTTTTTTTTGGGAAGTATTTGGCATTCGGCTCATAGTGTCAGCTGCTATAATACCCCTAATTTTAAAAGGATAGTTCTGGAATTTATTTAAATGTTTAATTGTGTTTTTAGTTTATTTAGTTGGTTATTTGTAGTTGTTGTGTTTGTTTGTTTATTTAAATTGATTATTTATTTTATTTTAAATTGTTTTATTTTAAATTGGTTGTTTATGTTAGTTAGTATTTATTTAAATTAAGTTAAATGTTTTATTTATTAAATTAGGGTTTTATCAGTTTAGGGAAGCCACGTATTTAGCCGACTTATTTTTTTCTGTCTAGTAATAGGATTAAGGTTTAATTGCACCTAGGTTTAGTTGGCCTATATATATATCTGTATAAGACTGCCAAGGGTTTAGAACCCTAACCACACGTATTGGAGGCAGAAGTATCAAGGGAGTTAGGAGAAGGTAGTTCGCCGGAAAACTTAGAAGAAAGACGTTGAGATTTTTGAACCGAATCTCACAGGCAAGTTCTATAACTAACTCTATCTCTTTGGCCTGTGTTCTTTGCATCGCTAATTTAGTTCCAGGAAGCAATAAAGTTAAATTAATATGGTTGCACAAGTAATTGTTTCAAAACAGTATGTGTTCATGTATGTGTTTTCATTCGGTTTTAATCTGTTTTGCTTGATTCTTGTTCTGATTGAATTTGATTAATAAGTAAAGAATTTAGTTAACTCTAAAACACCTTAGGACTTAGTTTTGATCAGTTATAAACTTGGGTTAGAGGAACAAAGTTGCCGGAGTTGGAGAAGAAGTTGAACAGCATGTTTCCTTGTAGGTGCATGTTAACCGTTTTTAAATTATTTTGTTTAATTCTTGTTCCCACTGAATGTGATTATTAATCAAGGAAGTTAATTAACTTTTGAACACCCAAGGACTTAATTTTAATCAGCAAGAAATTTGGTTTGGAGGATCAACACAGTTGGATACCGCCGGAATTGGAAAAACGATGCACAGGGGAAGGAGCCTGCTCTATTTCAAGTAGAGCAGGCTTAATTAGAAAGTGGAGCAGGCTATACTTTGTAGTAGAGCCGGCTCTACTTGGTAGTGGAGGCAGCTCCACTTTGGGTGGAGCCGGCTCCTTTGTGGGTTTCCAGTTTTTCCATTTTTCTGAGTTTTGGGCAACCGTTTGGGCTACGAGACTTGGATTTTGGTAATTTCAGATTCTATTGGAGGCTGTAATGGAGTGTTTAGTGATGTTCTAAAAGCTTATAAAAACTTCAGGGAACAAACTAAAACAAATTAAACAAGTTGAGGTTCATTCTTGAATAATGGGTAAAGTTTAACTAAACTAGATTACAGTTTTCGGATGTAAAAGATGTTAAATTGCTAAGCCTTTTTATGGCAATTCTTGAGAATTGAATACAGATATTATGGTTCAGAAATTCTATATAAGCATGCAAGGTTACAAATATTTAATTTTGCTTTATGTGGATAGATTGACAGTTGCATACATTAGATGTGTTGTCAATTATGAGAGGTTGTTAGAGTAGACTTAAATCAGTATGTTTCTATATATATACTCTGCTCTAGCATGTTTTGTGGGGATAATTGATGTTTGAATGTATGTGATAAATTATCAATTATTGGATCTTGGAAAGTAGTAGTTATAAGCCTGTTAAGTTATAGAATTTTAACATGCTTATTATGGAATCATTGATGCTTATACTTGATGTATTATTATCAATTGTGGACTTTCTAGAATAGTTGTATTTTACATATATATATATTATCAATTCTGGATGGATGTTTTTTGTATGCACCGGTATGGGACGGTGACATACCAGGGGGATTAGCTTAAAAATGCTAAGTCTTACCTACTCTGGAATAAGGGATGGATTAACTACAAAAGGTTAAGTCCTACCTGTCTTCTGTGTCAGATCAATAAATAATTGAGTGACACTTTGGTTTGGAATGGAATTTAAATATATTTTTATGATGCCACGATATGAGCCTGAGTCTCAGAGTCGTTGGTTAGGGAGCGTATATGCATTGGGATGCAGAGCTGGCTATGATGGTTGGATGTGTACCCTGCTAGGACTAGGTAGTCATGCCCACCTTTGGGTGCGCTTTCGCATGGTGCCTACTAGTCAAGTTGAGACGGGCCTATAGTCCAGTGAGAGTCCTGTAGTGTGATTATATATATATATTTGTCTACGGACTATTAGCTATTGTTGGATTGGTTAGGATGTACATGCGTATCGGGTCTCTGCTTGGGTAGTAATGGTATAGAACTTGCATGTGGGCCTGACCCACTCATCATTTTTCAGGTATCGGACATTTCCAGTCTAGAGCTTATTCGTGCTGAGCAATGACGATCTTCCATTCTACCGACGACGTAGGACTTCTTTCCAAATATTAGATTTGGATTTTATTTTCAGTTTTTACTTTCATTCAGTTTGGGATTTTTATTAGGGGTCCACTAGAGATGGATTCCCGAGTTGTTAAACTGATGGAGTTTTGGATTATCAGATTCTAAGTATTTAATTATAAAGGATTTTACTTTTAGTTTCTTCCAGCTTAAACTTTATTTATTAAATTCATTTTGTCATCCGTGTTCGTATTACATATAAATTGTTTGATATTTCCCTCGGGTTTAGGCTTGGGCCTGATCAACCCGTGTCTCGGATCCGAGGGGTATCACAGCTGCCACTTACTTTGCTCAGGCACCTGGCGCTCGGCTAGAATGCCACTTGCCACTTGGCCCTCTTTTCTTTTTTTCTTAGCGGCGTTCGGCTCATAGTGCTAGCTGCCACTTACTTTGCTCAGGCGCCTGGCGCTCGGCTAGAATGTCACTTGCCACTTGGCGCTCTTTTTTTTTCTTAGCAAGTGTTTGGCATTCGGCTCATAGTGCCAGCTGCCACTTACTTTGCTTAGGCGCTTGGCGCTTGGCGCTTGGCTAGAATGCCACTTACCACTTGGCCCCTCCCCCCCCTTTTTTTTTAGCAAGTGTTTGGCATTCGGCTCATAGTGCCAGCTGCCACTTACTTTGCTCAAGCGCTTAGCGCTCAGCTAGAATGCCACTTGTCGCGATGCTGGATACTCCGAGATATAAAAACAGCTTTTCGCTCGATTCTGGAGCTGACAGTACCGGAGGGTTCTGCATATACTTTTTCAGAGCAGTTAACGCTAGGCGCTGTTCATCCCCCCAAACCTGCCTGCCGTGGCTTCGTATTGTGTCAAAAAATGGTTTGCATCGATCTGACAATTTGGAAATGAACCGGCTCAGTACAGTAATCCGTCCCGTAAGTATTTGCACTTCTTTGACTGTCGTCGGCTCAGCATTCTTAGTCAGAGCATCTGCTTGGGCAGGGCTTGCCTCGATGCCTCTGAGATTAACCACGTGCCCTAGGTATTAGCCTGAACTTACACCGAATGAGCACTTGGTCGGATTGAGCTTCATTCCATATCGCCTCAACACATCAAACACGTCTCGTAGATGCTTCACATGATCAGCTTTCTTCTTACTTTTTACCACCATGTCATCAATGTAAGCTTCCACTGTCTTCCCTATTTGTTCCTTAAAAATTTTGCTAATAAGTCTTTGGTAAGTTGCTCCGGCGTTCTTCAGTCCGAATGGCATAACTTTGCAGCAATACGTCCCGCGTTCGGTAATGAAAGAAGTTTTTTCTTCATCAGCGGGGTCCATGGGGATTTGATTATAACCTGAATAAGCATCTAAAAAGGTCAAGCGTTCATATCCAGTAGTTGCATCCACCATCTGATCAATCTTTGGCAGCGGGAAGCTATCCTTCGGACAGGCTTTATTTAAATTGGTGAAATCAATGCATACACGCCATTTTCCATTTTTCTTCTACACAACGACCACATTCGATAACCAGTCAGGGTAGTACACTTCTCTTACAAACCCCGCGTCAAGCAGCTTGTCAACCTCCTCGGCAATAATTCGGTTGAGCTCAAGGGCAAACCGTCACTGCTTCTGCTTTACAGGTTTTGCATTGGGGTTAACGTTCAAGGAGTGACAAGATACAGAAGGATCGATCCCTGGCATGTCTAGGTGACTCCATGCAAACACATCTGCGTTTTGAGACAAAAAATCAACTAATTCCTGCTTTTCCTCCTCAATGAGTCGTTCCCCCACTCTGGTTATCCGTTCCGGTCAGAACTGATCGATCTGCACATCAAACAAGGGTTCTTCAGTCAAGCCTACTGGCTCCTCCTCCCCACTTTACTTGGAGGGAGGCTCCTATAATTGCTATCTCGGACTTGCTGAACGAATGGGAGCTTTCCCCTTTCCAGCATGTTTCAGTGTTATAGAATAACATTCTTTAGCTGCAGGTTGGTCTCCATGAATGTCAATCACTTTGGTTTCGTTTGGCCCCAGGCATCTCATTACCTGATGCAGAGTGGAAGGAACACCTTGAACTCTGTGGATCCACCCTCTGCCCATCAGAAGATTGTAAGAGGGATGAATTTCAACAACCACAAAGGTTTCCATCAAAACCCTCTCGGCAGCATGTACCGCTACCTCCACCGTACCGACGGGCTCCACTCGCTTTCCATCAAACCCTAGTAGTGGATTCCCGGTGAATTTCAGCCGATCCTGTTTGATCTCGAGCCGATCGAATGTATCCCTTGGCATGATGTTCGCACTACTTCCAGGGTCAATTAGAACTCTACGCACCAAGCATTTGGTCACTGTCAAACTTACGACCAGCGGGTCCTCATGAGGGATCTGAACACGCAACAAATCTGTTACGTCAAACTTTATCTACGTTGATGCACTCTGTTTGTGCAGAGTGTTTACACTGCCTATCATTCTCTTCATCCGTGCCTGGCGAAGGCGTGTTCGAAGCAGTTCATCTGACTCCTCGACAGGTTCTGGCCGACCATGAATTGCATTGATTACTCGAACTGGTTGCGTGTTGTGAGAATTCGACTTCTGATTCTTCTTCACGTGCTCAATTGGTCGGTTCTGTTCCACCGCTGGTCCTTGAATATAACTTGCGAACTCCCCTCTGGCTATTAGCATCTCTACCTGTCTCCTTAGGTTCCTGTATTCATTAGTCTAGTGACCAAAATCAAAATGAAATGCACAGTGCTTAGACTGATCCCTCTGTTCGAGAGGTTGTCTGATTAGTAAAGGAGGTCAGAACTTATCTTTATTTTCTTGGTACAATCTTGCTAGGGTAGCTTTCAATGGAGTAACCAGCTCTTCCTCTCTGGGCCTCTTCTCAGATTTCCACTAGGAGCGTTGCGGCTGAACCTGTTTTTGCCTGATCTTTGCTTTGGTCTTTTCTTCCGTGGATATGATGGATGTCTTCCGAGCGTTTGCCGCCTCTTCTTCTTCTTAGCGCACAAATCCATCGGCTCTTTCGTTAAGTTCATCCATAGTCTTCGACGTGTTCACCACCAAGCTTGTGTGGAATGGGGTGCCACGGTTCATGGCCCGTATGAATGCTTGAACTGCCGTTGAAGGGTGACATTCAATAACCACGCTCTTGGTAAGGTTAAACCTGGTTAGGAAAGCCTGGAGACGCTCATCAGCATGTTGCTTTATTGTGAATAGGCTCGAAATATCTTTCGCTGGACGCTTGTTTCCATAGTATTGGCTTATGAACCAATCACATAAGCTTCAAAACTATCCACTGAACCCCTCGGCAGGTTTTTGAACCAATTCAGAACTGGTCTGGCCAGACTCGTAGGAAACCACTTGCATGTCAAAGAGTCATTCTTAGTGTTTAGAGCCATTTTCAACTGGATGTGATACACGTGATTGATCGGATCGGTCGTTCCATCAAACAGAATGAAAACAGGCATAGAAAATTTACTCGGACTCGGAGCATTCAGAATTTCATCGGTGAATGGTGAATCAACTGTTCGAGCTGCTGAACGGAGTGCTTCATTTTCCCTCTGGAACCCCGCGGTTGCTCTCTGGTCTACTGATCTCCTCTCTGAGCTGTGATAGTCGAACGTCGTCATGGAAGGCCGATAGGTCGGATCGAATGACCTGTCCTTAACAAAGTCTTTGCGCCATGGAGGCATAGCTTTGTGACGATTCAACTCTGTTGCTTCACCTCGGCTGAGCGTTTCTTGATGTGGATTAAAAGCCATTGCTTCGTTTCGCCTGATCTGCTCACGCCGTGGATCCATGTGAGTTGATCCTTCATGATCATCAATACGACGAAGATTTGGCGGCAAACTGCCTCGCCGGATTTCCTCGCGGTGAGGATCTACTAGATTATTTCTGACCTCCTTACCGTGATGTGCTGCAACGGTACGTGCACCTTTTTCTCCTACCGAGAGTGGTCATGGAATTACTGGAGCTTCTTGACGCTGCATTTCAGTCCTTAGATCCGCATTTTCTCTCCGGAGAGCTTCGATCATGTTCATCAACTCATCAAGTTTCACTTGCTGGACGTTCTCAACCGTATTGGAGTTGTCACCCCCTATCATGATTCTGGATCAAAGCAAAGGCATGAATTACGAACTCTGAAATAGATCTAAGCGTCACCGATGCAAACTCCGTTAGATCTGGGCTCAACTTCACCGAATCGTGATCACTATTTGCTAGATCTGAACTTTTCTAGCTTTGAACTCACTGGATCTGACTGCAATTGAGTAAATCACAATTGCGTCATTCCGAAGCAAATGCCTCAGAATCCACAATAAGCAAGAATTCTCTCTGAACAAACTACAATCTCACTGATTTGGATTCAACTTCTAGAAATCACACTGTGTACTCACAAACTTGATTGAACTAATATGGTACTGATCGGGCTCGAATTGATCTTTTTCTCCGTTCCCACAGATGGCGCCAATTGAAGATACAAGAGTTCGTTTCTTCTTTCTCTCTCTAGAATTCTTACCCTTCAATAGAATCCAAAAAATTCCCCTTCTTATCCACCTGTAATGGTCTATTTATAGACCATTACAATTATTATTGTTAACTGATTACATTGGGCCTATATTCAAAAGTTTTCTTCCTTCTGGGCCTGATCTTCTAATGGGCTTGATCTTCCTCAGTGGATCCTCCAGGTTCGGCCCATTCCGGGGTGCTTTGGCATGGGCCATACTTCAATTGTTCGACCCAATCCCGTTCCAGTGAACTATATCCGGCCCATGCCACTTACTGCATCCTCAACATACCTATAATTACTATTGAAAACCAAAAAAATTAAAAAATGGTCGGTAGAAACTATCTCATCTACTATAATAACGATGCAGATTAAGTCATCTGCAATAATAATTGTACCTTGGAATCATCTGAATGTGATCAGCTACCTCAATGGTAAATACTTTCTTGGCACCAGAATCAACCAAATCTTATCAGCTATGGGTCATCTCTACAGAGTTCGATTCTTAGGATAACACAATCAAAGGTGGCTTGAATGATACGTAAACAGAGCTGTCAAGTTGCTAGGAAGACGCTACAATGCAGAATCATAGACGCCCCCCAAGTTACAAATGCCCTGGGATAAGTCCACCTACAACTAGATTCATCTGTTGACTAAATTTCAGGATGAGAAGTAGAAGAAGCCAAACAAGAGGAATTTTTTTTTTCTTTCCCTCTATCTTTCCTTCTATAACCATGCTAAGAAAGATCAGACAAAAAATTCAGAACAGCAAAACTAGATTTGATATTCAGCACCTCACCACATCAACTCTTCTTCTTGGTAAGTAAAATTCACTAATGCAAGAAGCACCTTCATCGGGATAGTGCTAGCATTGGACGAAGAACCTTACTTAACTAAATCATAGTTATATTGGTAGATCAGCACTGACATGCATGAGTACAGTACTGTGAGTATCAATATAAATGAACAATGAGAAAATTAAAAGTGAAGAATAAGATCATGGCTAAAAGTTCATATACTTAATGAGAAAGCTTGAGCAAAATATCATAACCATCGACTGAAGTTCAGTCCATAACAAGCGGCGGTTCATTTGGGAATGAAGACGAAGTGCTACAGCCAATATTCAACGAGTTCATCACTTCGGAGATAGTCAAAGTTGTTGAGATGTGAAGAGTTCTTGAGAAAACAGATAAGAAGAGGAGAGAGAAATGAGAGATTGGGGTTTTGTTGAGATGTGAAGAGTTCTTGAGAGAGTGTGAGATGAGACTTTTGCAGATATATATAGTCATTTCTTTCTTGAAAATTACACACACATATAATATGCTATCACTCAAAGCGAAGAGTGGAGAGATGAGTACTTGCCTGTGTAGGGGTTCTTTTTTTAATCAGATAGTAAACAACGATATAAAGGTGATATCAGAAATACAAATACGAAGGAAAACAAATGAGATGCTTAGTCTAAGAGGAGGAGAAGAAGACCAACTAACAAGATCAAGATGGTGGTAGGGCGAGTATATAGTATCTTATGACAGCTTCCTCTTCCGGGCTCCTTATTCCTTCATAGGACAGTATTATTTATAGCTCTGAATTCCATTGGTTATTATCCAATGGTCCCTTCCGTGCATGGTTCCTAGCATGTATTACTCCCGATCCGGATTACATGAGTAATCCTGGAGACTTAAGAGTTTGAAGGGTCTAATCCTTTCCTCGAGCCTTGTCCTACATTGCTATGTCACTTTTCCCTTAATCAGGGGCATTAAATGTTGCTTGGCCGTCGGTTGGCCAAGCCTGACACAGCATTAAATGTGATTTTAAGGTTTGCTGTCATGACATGTATAATCCCATCATCTTGTTAATCGGGCCTTGCTGAGAGCAAAGGCACTTCTTGACTTCTCATCCACCAATCCAAGATCCTCCTAAGTTTCCCAAACATAGATTCCCTATAGCCGCGAAGACCCTACCTTCGTTTCGTGCTATACGCAATCCCTTGACTACAAGCCCCCAAGGGCTCCAATCTTTCGAAGTGATATTGTCTGGCGTAACGCCAGGACTTGAGGCATTCGAGAGCTAGTCTCTTGAGACCTGATGGGCCTGGAGCAGTGCCAAGGCTTAAGGTGCTCGAGGATTGGCTCCTCGAGGCTTGATGGGCCTGGAGTGACGTCAAGGCTTAGGGTGCTCGAGGATTGGCTCCTCGAGGCTTGACGGGCCTGGAGTGATGCCAAGGCTTAGGGTGCATGCTCGAAGTTTGTTCTTTCGAGACTTGATGGGCCTGAAGCAATGCCAGGGCTTAGGTTGCTCGAGGATTAGCTCATCGTGGCTTGATGAGCCTGGAGCGATACCAGGGCATAGGGTGCTCAAAGTTTGATCTTTCGAGATTTGATGGGCCTAGAGCGATTCCAAGGCTTAGGGTGCTCGAAGTTTGATCTTTCGAGACTTTATGGGCCTAGTAACGATGCCAGGGCTTGGAGTGCTCGAAGTTTGATCTTTCGAGACTTGATAAACCTGAAGCGATGCCAAGGCTTGGAGTGCTCGCAGTTTGGTCCTTCGTGACTTTTGACTTTTCAAATTGCCACGAAGGATTTGGCTATGGTTGTATTGACTTGTCAGCGTGCTATGTCAGCTTCTAATAAGTGGCACCCACAGCCTATAAAGTGGGGAGCTTCATAGATTCCGAGTGATTCAACTTTCTCTCTCTATGATTCTCTCTCTATCGCTGGTTCTCGAAAAGTGTTTGAATGATGAACAATGTGCCCTAAACCTAGTTCGAGCTCACTATGTTTAGGTTCTCCAGCTTTACAACTAGAGGTTTAAGACCTTAAACCCAAATCGACAATGGTGTGAAAAACCCAGCCCAAGAATTAGGTCGGCTGGTGCACAACCTGTCTCAAGCTCTAAAGCAGCCCAAACCTTACATTTTTTTTTTTTTTTAATTGAGATTTCATAAAACAGTTTTTAAAAAATTGCAACCAAACAAGTTTTTGGGCAGTTTTATAATTTTTTTTTTATTTTTAATAAAGTACAAATTTCTGATTTTCAGAATTATTCTCATAACCAAACAGGCCCTTAGTATCTTTCTCTATAAAAAAAAATATATGTAATTTTTTTTTTATCATTTATAATATTAGTTTTATAAACTTAATTTACAACTTTGATCAATAATACTGTTGGGTTTTTC